TTCTCCCGAGTGGCTGCAAGATTTGAACCGCCAACCTTTCGGTTAGCAGCCCAGTGCTTTAACCATTGTGCCACCGGGACTCCTCCAATGGAGCTACTTGGTTGCAAATATCTGTTGTCCTCCAAGAAACGAAAGGGACCATCCCTGGAGTTTAGAGACCAGCAGAACTGTCAAAAAGAGCACAGGGGCAGGGCCACCACTTCCTATGTTTCAAAGGGTAGAGCCACCACCTCCCTGGTTTTAAAGAGTGGAGCTACTGCCTAGGTTTCAATGATGGTTGTCACCATCTCGGTTCCAGAAGTTGGTACAGCCTTTCAGGTGGGCCAAGAGAATGGGGCTGCCACGCAAAGTTGAGGGGTGGGGCTGCCATGTCAGTTGGCCAGGAGAACTGGGCCACCCAAAGCCAAGAGTGAGGGATTGCCATCGCTATGGGCCTGCAAGGTGGTACTGATGCCCAGAACTGAGAGAACTGGGCCACCCAAAGCCAAGAGTGAGGGATTGCCATCGCTATGGGCCTGCAAGGTGGTACTGATGCCCAGAACTGAGGGACCTCCACCCAGAATCTGGAGATCACTGCCAATGCCCAGAGTACAGTGGGCAGGAACCATCGCCCAGCTGTGTCTGGAAAACAGATTATTTTCAAGCCTTGAGAGCTAATGAGATTTGCCCAGTTGTGTTTTAGGCTTGCTTGGTACCCATGACCCCTTCTTTCCCTACAACTTCTCCTATTTGGAATGGAAATGTCTATGCCTAGTTTACCACTGTACTTTAGAAGCAGATAACATACATTCTAGGTTTCTTAAGTCCACAGATGGAAAAGAATTTTGCCTGTGGGGGAACACACTCAGAGTATCACCCATACTTGATTTAGATGATTTAGAAGATGAGTTGATGCCGGAATGGATTAAGACTTTTAGGATAATGTGGTAGGGTGAATGTGTTTTGCATGTGGGAAGGACATTAATTTGAGGGGCCACAGGGTAGAATGTTATGCGTTAAATTGTATCCCCCAAAAATGTTTTGAAATCCTAACCCTGGAGCTGTAAAGATGATTCTGTTTGGAAATAGTTTTCTTCTGTTATGCAATGAAGTCATACCAGAGTCGGGTGAGTCCTAAAACTAATCACTTCAGAGTTATAAAAAGAGGAGAACAGATGCCAAGGAACACCAAGGAAAGCCAAAGATTGACAGCACTCATCAAAATCTAGAAGAGAGGCACGCAGAAAGAACTGTCATGGCAGAGACCCTGATTTGGACTTTTAACCTCTCAAACTATGAAAAAAATAGTTTCTGTTCTTTAAAGCCATCTGCTTGTAATATTTCTGTTACAGTAGCAGTAGGTAACTAAGACAGCATCCTATGCCTCCAGATGTAATAGCCTGAGGACATATGATAGCATATAATCTGAATCTAATCATAAGGAAACATCAGCAAACCCAAACTGATTAACATGCTATAAAATAACTGGACTGTATTCTTCAGAAGGTCATGAAAGACAAAGGCTAAGGAATTATTCCAGATTAAAAGAGAGTAAATAGTTAAGACAACTAAACACAATACATGATTCTGGACCAAATCCTATACTAGAGGAAAAGAATGCTAAAAAAACACACATTACTGGCAAAATTGTTAACACTGGATTACAGATTATAGATTGTAGCAATGTTAAAATTTTGTGAATATAACATTACTGTGGTGGCATAGTGGTTAAGAGCTCAGCTGATAACCAAAAACTCACCAGTTCAAATTCACCAGCTGCTCCTTAGAAATCTATGGGGCAGTTCTACCCTGTCCAGTAGGGTTGCTATGAGTCGGAACCGACTCAGCAGCACCTAATATAACAACAACATGGTTGTGTAAGAAAATACCCTTGTTCTTAAAAAAATATTATGGGATAAAGGGGCATGATGTATGTAAACTATTCTTAAATGGTTCAGAAAACATAATATAAATATGTGTGTATGTTGTGGGGGGAGGAAGGGGGAGAGAGAATGATAAAGTAAATGTGACAAAATGTTTAAAAATTAGTGAATCTGCAAAAAGAGTATACAGAAGTTGTCTGTACTACTGCAATTTTCCTATAAACTTGAAATTATCTCACATAAACAGTTAAAAATGAGAGCTGAGGAACAGTGTAAGCTTTAAGTTTTTTACATAAATTTTGTCATCTGATTATCCCAATAACAATCCTGAGGAATTAAAAAAAAAAAAACCAAGTAATATTATTTTATAAAAAAGAGAACACAGGCTCAAGAGACATTAAGTGACCAAGTCCAGAAGAGGGGTCTCCTTGTTCCTGTGCAGCCCAATACATGGCAGTTCAATGGTCAAAATGTTTCTAATTTCTAGAAGCTTCAAGGTCATACACTGTCTACAACTACTATTCAGTTTTAAACTTTTAATGAGATACGCATTCTCTAATAAAAGCACTGAGACTTTGGCTTGGTTACTTTAGACACACCATCAGGAAAGATTACAATCACTAGAAAAGAACATCATGGTAGGTGAAGTAGAAAACTAAAAAAAAAAAACCTGCTGTCATCCAGCTGATTCCAACTCATGGCAACCCCACGTGACACCATGTGTGTAAGCAGAAGCGCACTATATAGGGTTTTCATGGCTGCGAGCTTTCAAAAGCAGATCCCAGGCCTTTCTCCCAGGCACCTCTGGGTGGGTGCGAATCGCCAACTTTTCAGTTAGTCATCAAACACTTAACGGTTACCTGTTTGTGCCAACCAAGGACTCCTGATAAAGTACAGAGTCAGCGAAACAAGGGAAATCCTCGATGAGATGGACTGATACAATAGCCACAATGAAGTCATACACACCAAAGAACATGAAAATGGCACAGGACTGGGCAACGTTTCGTTCCATCATACCTAAGGTTGCCATGAATCAGAGCCGACTCGATGACAACTAATAACAACAATAAAAGTAAAAGCACCATAGAATTCATCAAGTAGTAAATAACGTATCTAAGCGCTTGTGAGAATGGGCTCTGAGATTAGAATGCTTGGGGTTCAAATTCTGATGGTGCAGTGTTCTAGCTTTGCAATCTTGGTCAAGTTAACCACTTGTGCTCCAATTTCCTTATCTGTAAAGTGGGATCAGATCAGAGAACTATCTTTGCCTTCGTGTTGCAAAAAGAAACCAAAAACTCACTGTCACCTAGTCAGTTCTGACTCAGAGCAATCCTATAGGGTTTCCAAAGCTGTAAATCTCTATGGAAGCAGACTGCAACATCTTTCTCCTGAGGAGCCGCTGGTGGTTTCAAACCACTGACCTTTTGGTTAACAGTTGATTGCTTTAACCACCGTGCCACCTGGGCTCCATAGTGTTGTTAGGAGGGCTAAATGTCATAATAAATGTAAAACAGTGTGCACAAATACCTAGCATCTGGCAAGCAGTCATTAATGTTGGCTACTTTTATTTTAAATTTAAACTGCCAGGCCACCTCAGCAGCACTAGTCACAGAGTCAAAGCCATATTTTTTTTTCGCCAAATCAGACCAAAATCTGACAAAATAGAAACTCAGAGGTTCTAAGATGAAAAACATCTTAGAAATTTACAAAATATAAAAAAAGTAAATTAATTGTAGGCAAATTACATGCAAAATAAACCAATGAAGATGTGCAGGTTATTCAACAGAACATTTTGAGAGCTGCAACAAGCTCCTTAACAGAACAGGTGACAATGTAAATGGAATGAAAAATAAAAAGAAATAAGTTATTTTACTTTTAAACTTTTCTACTGTCGGAATAAAGAAAACAGAGAAAAAGACTTTATTCCACATGCTATATATAAGATCTCAGTCTAATACAGTCAAAATTGAATTCCAATTTCAACTATTAACCACTTTCTAGACTACCCAATCTTGTTAGTAAAGTTTAAACTTTAAATTTTAATTATGCCTTTTCAGCATCTGAAAAGCTACCAGCACAACTACCTTATCTTAATTAATTATTACCCTAGCGACAGCCTATTGGGTGACCATATTGGTTAGTACTGAGATTAAAAATAAGGAAAGTATAAACAACAAGAAAAGATAACAATAAAATATAAACAAAGTTGCCAGAATTCTGTAAGTCTATTTCCTTTAAATCCTCCCAATAAAAACAATTTGGCAATGTTTTATTTCCATTCCTAAGTGGTACTTAAAATATTTTTTACTAATTTTTTTACAAAACTAATTGTACATTATTTAATGTTCATTTTAAACCCATATTAATTTGTAAAAGTTTAGGATTTGCTGATAGTAAATCGAAAACCCTACTGCCGTCGAGTCGATTCCAACTCATAGTGACCCTTTTAAATACTCTCTACTCATATTCTTATTATTTTGCTTAGTCTTGTAGGTTTTTTGTATGTACTGCAAAGAATATTGTCTAAGAACTTTAAAGCTTGTGTAAAGCAGTTTTTCCATTCATAAAGACCCTAAAATCACTTCTTTCCCGGCTTTACTCAAGGATCACAACGCAGATTCCCCTAACCAACGCTGACACTCACTTCCCCTCTCAATTCCCGAAAAACACCTTTCACTCTAACTAGCGAATTTCTCAACGTTTGGTCCCGCGAACATCAAATTAACCAAAAAAAAAAAAAAACAAACAAACTCGTTGCCGTCAAGTCAATTCCGATTCATGGCGACCCTAAAACAAGAGTGTTTTTTTCAAAATTCAGATTCCTGTGTCCCAGCCCAGACCAACTCAATCAGCGTCCTTGGGGGAGGGATCTAAGGTCCCCAAGCAGCTCTTTATTCCACTAAAGTTTGAAAACTAGCGGTTTTCCTACACACACTCACCCCAAACTCCCAGCAACTCCCACCACCCTCAACAGATCCAACTTCACGCTCCCACCTACCCTCGGGTAACGCCGTGGCCCCAAACCGGTGCGGTCTCAGGGCGACCCCTCCCCTCTCCCGGGTACCCGAGCCTGGAGCTCGCTCCTCCGGAGTCCCCAGCCCCTCAGCCAGTCCCGACACCCCAAACCTATCTCCTCACTTCTTCAAGTCGCTGCTAAAGAGGCCGAAGGCGCCCGAGGGGGAAATGGTTGAGGTCGCCTCCTGACCCAGCTCCGTTGCCTCCCCTCCTCCAGACTGCTCATTGTAAGCGAAGCTGTTGCTAGACATTGCCGCAGTGCTGGCGGGTATCGGATTGGCTCTGCCCGGGGTTCTCTCAGAAGGTCTCCAGTCAGGATGACACGGAACAAAACTACTTCTCCTGTCGAGGGGCGCGCGCAGGCGCTTCCGGACTCGTCACTACTCCCTAAGCGGACCCGGCGGTTCACCCCCTGCGCATGCCCAGCGTGCAGGCTGGCCGGAGCCCACGCCAGGCGCTCCAGGACCTGCCTGGATTTCCCTTATCCGGGTTTTAGCAGTAGCTGGGCGTCTTGGGGAAACCCAGGTGGCGTAGTAGTTGAGAGTTACAGCTGCTAACCAGAAGGTTGGCGGTTCAAATCGACCAGGCCCTGCTTGGAAACCCTTTGGGGCGGTTCTACTCTGTCCTACAGGGTCGCTGTGAGTCGGAATCGACTCGACGGCAAGGGGTTTGGTTTGTTTGTTTTTTTTTTCTTTTGGGCGTCTCGGACCTTGGCTGTGAACATGCGCGTGAGTTTACTTGGGGCTCATAAAGAGTCTAAGTGCAGATGCCCATTTTATCCATTTTGATCCCATAAGGAGATACCCCGAGCCCGAACACCTCTTTCCCTGACTTCTGCTGTAAACCAGTACCTTTCAGATTTCTTTTGAAACGCTATTTAAAACACCAGATCAACTTTCCTAAACTCTTCGTGATCGCTCTTCTTTTTTATGCCTGTGTCCGCTCCCCTGCCTCTAGCCAGAGTGACTTTACTTTCACATCCGCCCCCAAGGAACATTTCTCCAGGACCTCTACGCTTTTTACAAACAACTCCTCAACAAACAATCCCTCTTTACTCCTTCAGTGGTGTCAGCGTCCCCGAGGTGAAATACGGAGGAGAAAGAGCCCTGACGAAGGATTCTAGGTCCACAGAGAAGTAATTTCAGTGAAAACTTTGGAAAGCTTTCCAGGCGCCATTAGTGCCCACCCACAACTAAAGGAGTGCGTCCTACCGGCGTCTGACTACCAAAAAATAAAATAGAGCCACTTCGCTGGCAAGTAGTAGCCTATCATCGGGGCGCCTCCTTCCTTTAGTCTTTCGCGGTTCCAACACTAACACCTACTAGGGAACCCAGGCGGGATGGCCCCGGGGTAGCTCTGATCTTGGGGTGCCGGCAACTAATCCAGTCATAACTTCACCCAGTCGGCTGTCTTAGGTGAAGTTCTGGGCCTCCCCTCCCGTGCCTCTACTGCCTCCCTTCTTGGCAGGCATTAAAAACCCAGTGTCCCGGAAGCTAGTTACCAACTGTTTAAGGACTACCTGAGTGGCAGGAGTAAAACGAAGACCTGGGGCCCGGCCGCCAGGGGGAGGAGGGGGCGGGGCAGGTTCAAGGATCAGACTGTGGACCTCAATCTGCTCAAAAACTACCCTGCTACTACAGAAACTCTCGCGGTTGTGGCTTTAGGTGGGAAAGGAGGGAACGTCCTCCAAACTTCCCAGTCTGGTCAGAGATTGTTGTTTATTGTTGTTTTTGTTAGCTGCTCTCCAGTCGCCTGGACTCATGGCGACACCGTGCACCACAGGATCAGACTTTTGTAATCCTTAGGATCACAAAATGAAAATTGTCCGATTTTCAGAAGTAGATCGCCAGGCCTTTCTTCCTAGTCTGTTAGTGGGTTTTTAAATCATTTGTTAGAATACTCCTTCAGACATGCAATGATGGAGCGCCTCGTATTTGCTGTTGATTTATGGAATTTCACCAACAGCTGACTGATTATTCATGATAGTGATGATGATCACAGATAACCATGTATTATAGTACTATACTGAGCTTAATATGTAGCCAGCACTATTCTAAGTAATTTACATATATTAATTTATCTACTAGTAAAAGAATCTAGGCTTTAGTTTCCTTTATCTGTACGATGAGGAAATTGATATACACCTATGATAGAGAACCTCTGGTATATGTACCTGAGTGTAGAATTTCTTGGTTGTAGAGTATGTACACCTTTGCTGGATATCTTACATTGTTCTCCGATTTAATTTTAGCCTTCCCAGAAGTGCTCACTCCTCTATGCCAAGAAATTTGGAAGACAGCTACCTGGCCAACGGACTGGAAGAGATCCATATTTATGCCTATTCCCAAGAAAGGTGATCCAATCGAATGCAAAAATTATCAAATAATATCATTAATATCACACGCAAGCAAAATTTTGCTGAAGATCATTCAAAAGCGGCTGCAATAGTATATCAACAGTGAACTGCCAGAAAGTCAAGCCAGATTCAGAAGACGACATTGAACCAGGGATATCATCGCTGATGTCAGATGGATCCTGGCTGAAAGTAGAGACTAACGGAAAGATGTTTTCCTGACAATGCAAAGGCATGCTACTTTGTGGAACATGACAAATTATGGATAACATTGCCAAGAATGGGAACTCCAGAACACTTAATTGCGCTCATGAGGAACCTGTACATAGATCAAGAGGCAGTCGTTCAAACAGAAAAGGGATAGTGCGTGGTTTAAAGTCAGGAAAGGTGTGCATTAGGGTTGCATCCTTTCACCATATCTATTCAATCTGTAAGTTAAGCAAATAATCCGAGAAGCTGGACTATATGAAGAAGAAAGGGGCATCAGGATTGGAGGAAGACTCATTAACAACCTGCAGTATGCAGATAACACAACCTTGCTTGCTGAAAGTGAAGAGGACTTGAAGCACTTACTGACGAAGATCAAAGACCACAGCCTTCAGTATGAATTACACCTCAACATAAAGAAAATAAACATCCTCACAACTGGACCAATAAGCAACATCATGATAAACAAAGAAAAGATTGAAGTTGTCAAGGATTTCATTTTACTTGGATCCACAATCAATACCCATGGAAGCAGCAGTCAAGGAATGAAAGGGTGCATTGCTTTGGGCAAATCTGCTACAAAAGAATTCTTTAAAGTGTTGAAAAGCAAAGATGTCACCTTGAAGATTAAGGTGCGCCTGACCCAAGCCATGGTGTTTTTAATCGCCTCATATGCATGCAAGAGCTGGACAATGAATAAGTAATATCGAAGAAGAATGGACGCCTTTGAATTGTGGTGTTGGCAAAGAATATTGAATATACCATGGACTGCCAAAAGAATGAACAAATCTGTCTTGGAAGAAGTACAACCAGAATGCTCCTTAGAAGCAAGGATGGCGAGACTACATCTCACATACTTTGGACATGTTATCAGGAGGGATCAGTCCCTGGAGAAGGACATCATGCTTGGTAAAATAGAGGGTCAGCGAAAAAGAGGAAGACCCTCAACGAGATGGATTGATACAGTGACTGCAACAGTGGGCTCAAGCATAACAATGATTGTGAGGATGGCGCAGGGCCAGGCAGTGTTTCGTTCTGTTGCACATAGGGTCACTATAGAACCGACTCTATGGCACACAACAACAACATAATTTTAGCAGTTCACACTCCGACCCAAGTGTATAAGAGATCTTTCCTCACATTCTCACCAACACTTGGTTTTCTGAGTTTTTTTATTGTTAGCAGTATGATATGTATAATACTATTTTTATTGTAATTAATTTTCATGATCATAATGAGTTTAGCACCTTGTATATAAGCCCTGGAGCCCTGGTGGTGCGGAGATTAAGAACTCGGCTGCTAACCAAAAGTCAGCAGTTCAAATTCACCAGTTGCTCCTTGGAAACCCTATAGGGCAGTTCTACTCTGTCGTATAGGGTAAACTGACAGTAACGGGTTTGATTTTGGTATATGAGCCTGGTGGCCCAGTGATTTAACACTCTGCTGCTAACCTAAAGGTGTGGTTCAAATCTACCAGCCGCTTAGTGGGAGAAAGATGTGGAAGTCTCATGTGGCAGTCTGCTCCCATAAAGATTACAGCCTAGGAAACCCTATGGGGTAGTTCTACTCTGTCCTACAGGGTTGCTAGGAGTCAGAACTGACTCAGTGCAATGGGTTTGGTTTTTGGTTTTATATGGTTATATTCCATTTGTGTTTTATTTTTTTGTCTTGTACATGAACATACTTGCCTGATTTTACACTGACTAGCCTCTTTTTTCTTATGGATTTCAAAGAGTCTTTGTTCTTGAGTCTGTCACTTTTAATTCACTACTTGATTTTATTACTAATATTTTATTTGGTAATTTTTTTCATGCAGATTCATTGTCTTAGTCATCTAGTGCTGCTATAACAGAAATACCACGAGTGGATGGCTTTAACAAAGAGAAACTTATTCTCTCACAGTCTAGGAGGCTAGAAGTATGAATTCAGGGTGCCAACTCCAGGGGATGGCTTTCTCTGTCAGTTCTGGAGAAAGTTCCTTATCATCAGTCTTCCCTTGGTTTAGGAGCTTCTCAGCGCAGGAACCTCAGATCCAAAGAACATGCTCTGATCCCAGCATCGCTTTCTTGGTGGTATGAGGTCCCCCGTCTCTCTGCTTACCTCTCTCTTTCATATCTCAAAAGAGATAGACTTAAGACAAAATCTACTCTTGTAGATTGAGTTCTGCCTCATTAACGTAATTGCCACTAATCCTACCTCATTAACATCATAGAGATAGGATTTACAACACATAGGAAAATCACATCAGATGACAAAATGGTGGACAATCACCCAACACTGGAAATCATGGCCTAGCCAAGTTGACACATATTTTAGGGGGACACAATTCAATCCATTACATTCATGTAGAAGATTGACCTACTATTTTTTTTTTTGCACTGTCCTTGAATGGTATAGGTATAAAGAGATTATATTCCTCAAAAAGTTAATTAGGTAAATTTCTTTTCTCTTCTCTAAAATATTATTGTTGTGGATTGAATTATGTTCCTCAAAAATATGTGTTGAAATCCTAACCCCTGTATCTGTGGATGTGATCCTGTTTGGAAATAGAATTTGCTTTTCATTATGTTAATAAGGTCATACCAGTGTAGGGTGAATCCCAAACTTCGTAACTTCTGAGTTACAAAATGACCAGAATAGACACAGACACACATAGAGGAAAGACAGACACCAAGTAAGACCAAGGAACTCCAAGGATCACCAAGAATCGCCAAGCATTGCTGGCAGACACCAGAGATTAGAACAGAGGCTCACAGAAGTAATCAACATGGTGGAGACTCTGTATTGGGCGTTTAGCCTCCAGAACTATGATGAAATAAATTTTTGTTCTTTAAAGTTACCCACTGTGGTATTTCTGTTATGGCAG